AGCGAAGCGTTTTTTTATTTTAACCCCCCCCCCCCCCCCCACCGCCACCTACCTACCTATTGCGGGGCCCTCTGGGGCGGTCAAAACCGGACCTACCTACCTATTGCATAGGGTCCAACGGATGCCGACTGACCCCCTATCTGGGTAGGAGCCGGAACCCAGCGGGGTACACCTGTGGCATAAAGCTTCTCTCTCTCTCTCTCTCAGTGTACGTGGCTCTTACGTACATTCCCGTAGGAGGACTCTGCTGACAGGGTTTGCGATGAAGAACGGCCTTTGGGTTCTCGGAGGTTTTTTTGCTCTTTCCTCTCTCTCTCTTCTCTAGCGCGGAGCCAGGTTCAGGCTCCAGCCGTGGGGCTCAGAGATTTTGAACCCCCACAAAAAATCTTTTGGGATCGGCAGCTTGCCAGCCCGGCGCGCTTCCCCCCTCAACTAGAGCCCGAACCGGCGAACCGGCGAACCCACGCCGGTCGGGGGGGGGGCGGGGTACAGCTGGGGTGCACCTGTGGCATAAAGCTGTCCACGACACAATATGCTCGGCACTGTCAACCCGGCCGAGGAGCCGGCGTCGCAGCGAGTGCTCTCGTCGATCGAGCTCGTCGGGCTGCTGCTCGAGAACGTCTTCTCGTTTCGCGACCGGCTCGCGCTGCACGCGACCTGTCGCACGATGCGCGGTTTTGTCGCGGACCCCGTGCACTGGCGCAGCCTAACGCTGCAGGCGGAGCGCTTCGACAGGCCGAGCATCTCGGAGAGGGTGCGGTTTGCGATGCGGTGGGTCAAAGCTGGCATCGTGCGCTCGCTGACCGTTCGAGCGCACCATCTGATGCTCGAACTCCCTGCGAGGGGGTGCCGTCTGGTGGAGCTCGACATTGCAGGGGCGAGCATCAAGGACGCGTTCCTCCTACGCGCCGCCTTCGGCGCCTGCGGAGAGACGCTGCGCCGCCTGGACGTCACCTTCGTCCGCATCCTCGGCCACCCCCTGAGCGACTGCCTGCACGGCGCAAAAGGAGTCCAGTTTGGACCGCGTCCCGGGATAATCTTTACGCCGAGCCCCATCGACCTCTTTGAGCCGCTGCGCAGGCTCGAGGTGCTCTCCGCCTACGACACCGAGTCCGCCATCGCCGCCGAGTATTCGATCGTTGGCTACGCCCTCTCCCGCTGCCCTTTCCTGACCACGCTCGTCACTGGTGGAGGGAGCGAGTTCCTGTCCGACGCCACCGGCGGCCCGGCCGCAGCGACCCGGTTCGCCCAGAGCAACCTGTGCCGCCTCGAGCTCTCTCACGCCCTGAGAGCCAGATACCTCCATGGCCTTGCTCCGCCGGCTCACCTCACCCGCCTCTCCCTCCGAGGCTACCTTCGCTTCGGCGTCGAAGATGTCACCTGGCTGCTCTCCTCCACTCCTCCCATTCAATCGCTGGACCTCTGCGGCTGCCGGGTCGCCTTGACGCACTCCTCAGACCACGAAGGGCAGCTGGCGGCCGAGACCATCGCCAAACTCGCCCCCACCCTCACGCACCTCAACGTTCGCGGCACTGGGTTCGACGACGGCTACGCGCGAGCCCTCGCCGCCGCGGGCGCACGCATCTCGCGCCTCAACGCAAGCTGCACGGACCTCACCGGCGTGGGCCTCGCCGCCCTCGCCAACGCGTCGCCGCAGCTTGAGGTGCTCGATCTCTGCTACGCCCAAGGGTGCGCGCGCGACGTGCCCGCCGTCCGCGCAGCCGTGAGGAGGCACTCGCCCGGCCTGCGGATGCTCGGCCTGGGCGGCTTCGACACGCTCAACCTCTCTGATCTGCGGGCGATGCTCGAGCCCAACCGCCAGTCCCTCACCCACCTCGGCATCGGCGGCTGCACGTCCCTCGACGCCAGCGCGGCTCTCTCCCTCCTTTCCGAGGCCTGCCCCAACCTCACCGCCCTCAGCGCGCACAAGCTGCCCGGCGTCTGTACTGCTGCCCTCCTCACGGTGATCGACAAGTGCCCCGGCCTCCGTTCCCTCGACGTCTACGACACCGTCCCAATGCACGAGGTGTCGGACTGCGGCTCCTATGCACTGGTGCAATCAGTGGGCGATTTGCTTGCCTCGAACCAACCCGCGCGGATCCCGCTCAAGCGCTGGCTTGCTCTCGGCTGCGAGAGAGTGGGCGAGCATCTGGGAGGCCTACCGCGCGTGATCGAGGAGGAACAAGCGGTTGCTTACTGGTGAGCATGGCATTGGTTTCCACGCGTGCCGTCGAGCGAGGCTCATTTGGGGTGCGAGCGTGCGTGCGTATGCGCTGTGCGCTGTGCGTGTCGCGAGCCGCTGGCGGGGTCTCGGGTCTGGAGCTCTGGGCAGCTGGCCCTGTCTGTGGGAGCGTGCCGTGCGAGTGCCGCTGCGGTAGTATATACCGGTCACCCGCGCACCGGTGTAGACTTTGAATTGTTTTGTGTATGTGCACTCGCCAAGACGCAAAGATAACGGCGAGGAAGGTCTGTGCCGAAAAGTATGTGGCAAGTGTGCGAAAATGGAGAAAGCTGCGAAGTCGTCCGAAGAGCCCCCGCGCCCCCCCGGGGCGCGCCCGGCGCGGGGGGGGGGCCATCGGACATCCTCAATTTCCAATTCGACGAGAACGCGCCGCGGGCGCTTTTGTCCACAACTAAACCTCAAACTCACAGTGATATCACAATGCGCCAATGCGGTCCGTTCAGCAGACAGCACGGGGGGGGGGGGGGTCACGTAACACACAACGGTCTCACGCACACACTCAACCGCATGTCTCCACAGCCACACAAACTAGTCTAGCCCGCACTGTCCACACGGTCGTACTCAGCTCCTCGCGCGGGCTTGCCTGGCGGCGCGGCCGAGCCCGAGCTGCTCGACGCGCTGGCCGAGAGCCGCGAGCGTGAACTCGTAGGCCGCGCCGTCGGGCCGCCACCACACGAAGCCCGCCTTGTAGAGCCGCAGCGCGGTGCGCATCTCCTCCTGCCGGCGCTGCGAGATGTTGCGGACAGTGGCGGCGAGGGCGGGGATCTGGTCCTTGCGGAGGTGGATCGCAAAGTCCTCCCACGGCAGCACGTTGGCATACGGGAAGATCATCCGGTCGTTGACCATCAGAGGGAGGCACTCCATCGCCATGTAGTCCACCACGCGCGCGCCCCACCCGTTCCCCTCGGTGTGGATGCAGAAGCGCGCCTTGGTGACCACGTCGAAGTAGTCGGGCACGCCGGCCGACACGATCCGCATGTCCGGCTCCGCGTAGAGCTTTTCCCGCCAGATCGCCTGCCGCACCCCCATCGAGTAGACCTGGCGGCACGACACGTCTGGCCGCGCGCAGCGGTCAGCAGTCACGCGCTTGAGCCACTTCTCCTGCTTCTCCTGCGAGTCAATGCCGCCCTTGCGCAAGTTGTCCTGCGACGCGCCAAATGAGGTGATCCCGCCCGCGAAGAAGACGAGCGGCCCCGACCTGCAGGCACGCGCCGGCGGCGGTGACGAGGCGCCGCCCCCGCCTCCAGCCCTTTCTTGGGGAGCAAGCGGGCGGGCGGGCCGCACCGGCCGAGGGGGAGCTCGGCCGACCCCCTCATCGAGCGCTGGAGCGAATGGGTGCCGTCGCGCCCCTGGACGAAACGCGGGTAGTCGTGCTGCACGGGTGTGATGGTCGGCACGACAACGTCTTTGTCGGGGGACATGCAGTCCTCGTCGCCCCAGTGGCCGACGATGATGGAGGCCTTTGCAATCTCGGGCGGCACGAGGCAGGTCTGCCGCTCGCCAAACACGAACCACACGTGGTCCCGGCCGGAGGAGGCGTTCCACCACGGGTGGCGGGTGCGGATGTACTGCAGCGCGCCTGCAGGACGATCCGAGAAGGTTCAGGGGGAAGGTCGCGGGCCTGCGGGAAGGGCGAGGGAGCCAGCGCACGGCTCATCGACGCGTTGAGGTCGGCGCCCCACGGCACGCGCTGGTTGAGAAAGAGGGGCACGTAGAAGAGCGACGCGCGCTTGGGGTCGAGCGTGCGCGTGAAGTCATCGTGCAGCAGGTGGGCGTCGAAGTGGGACTGGGCAGAGTAAATGCGCCGGTTGTGCACCGGGTCGCAGCCGCGGCCGGCGTCCTTGCCCCACTGCCTCCACATCCACGCCTCGGCGGCGCGGTTGACCGACGCCGGCATCTGGTAGACGTAGACGGATCGGCGGAGCCGACGCAAGTGCGGCCGCAGCGTGGCCGGCAGCACGCTCAGCTGCGCGCGGGTCGTCCCGTCTCCGAATTGCATCGGGTCGGTGGAGAGAGCCGAGCGCCTGCGTGGCGGCCGCAGGGGCGTGAGCCTCTGCGAGGGAGGTGGAGCGGGAGGGGAGGGAGGGAGGGGAGAGGGGGGGGGACGGAGGAGGACCTGTACTGGAGCCCCGCGGCGTCCGAGCAGTCGACGCCATACCAGCCAGCGTCGCACTGGCACCAGCCGTGCACGCACGTGCCGTGGCCAGAGCAGCCGTTGAAGCAATCGTTGGAGCAGATGCTCTCGCAGCCGTCACCAAAGGCGCCGTCGACGCAGACACAGCGGTACGACGCCTCATCAAGGCGCCGCCCTCCGCCGGGAGACGGTGAGGCGGGCGTCCGCAGGCAGCGGCCGCGCGCGGAGCAGCTGTGCGGGCAGCGGGACGGGACGACCCAAGCGGAGCCATCGGGCCTGCCGTCCTTCTTGGTGCCCGAGCTGTACGCCTACCTCGCACGAGCCCGCACGTGCAGCGTTCGCATGGCGGGTGCCGCCCGCCACGCCGCGCAAGTGCTTGCGCGCCGGGAGCTCTGCCGGAGCGGCGGGCGCCGACGAGTCAAAGGCGCGACCGCCCGCGAGGTAGCGTCCGAGAGTGGTCAGCCGAGCCTGCGAGCGGATAGGAAGGGGGGGGGGGGGGGTCGGCCCGCCGCTGGCCGCCTCTCCGCGGCTCTCCCCTCCTCTCCCCTCCCCCCAAGGCAGGTCCGGCCGGAGCCTGCGCAGGCGGTGGCACGGCCGAGGAAGGTGCGACAGCGGGCGGGAAGTCGACGCAGCTCAGCGACTCGTGGAAGCGAGCCCGCTTGGCGGGACGCGGCCACGGCAGGTTGCACCTGCCGGGGAGGGAGACGGGCGTCGACGCGAGCAGCTTTGGGGGAGGTGGCGCGCGTCCCGAGGCCGGGGAGGGGCAGACCCCATCGAGCCGTGAGCGCAGACTTCGTGGCCGGCATCGAGGCACTGTGCGAGGCACGCGCACGCGACAGGCGAGAGCAGCCGCATTGAGGCGCACGAGGCGGCTAGCTGCGCGCGAGAGAGCTCCGCCCCCAGTCCGCACGCTGGGAAGGCGGCCACCTCGCACTGCTTGCCTGCCCATCCCCACTGGCAGAGGCACTCTCCCGTCAGCGGCTCGCACACACCGTGCGGGCCGCAGTCGCAATGGCCGACGGCGGTGTATCGTCCAAATTGGAGCTGCTCGCAGCGGCCGCCGCCGCCGGTCACATTGCAAGCGACGCCCGGCATGTCGCGCTGCACGCCCTGCCCGCGGTGCGCAGCGGTGCCATCGTGGCCCATGTCGGCGAGAAGACCGATGGCCTGCATGGTGTGGGTTCCCTTCTTGTGCACGGCCGAGAGGGTGGGGATGGTCAGCATGCACGGAAGAGATATCGCCGCCGCGCCTGGAAGAGCTCGTGCGACTGCGGTGACCACTCCGCGCGAGCGGCCCCGCGCAACGCGCAAGCATAAAAGAATTTCGTCGCGTGATCCATTCCTTTTCTTTCTTTTTTCCGGCCTGCATTCCGCCGTTATCGATCTACCTGCTCCCCAATTGCCGTGCGCGTTCGCCTCGACGCAGATGACATCTCCTACACGAGGCGCTGCAGCATCCACATCATCACCGGCTCGCGGCAGTACGGGCACTCGCGCATCCGATCCGCGCAAGCGCCGCACGCGCACTGGTGCCCACATGGCACGGCGATGTGCGTCTTCGGCCGGGTAAAGCACACGATGCATGTGGTCTCGCCGCCGAGGGTGGACTCAGGAACAACCGCCCGGCCAGTGTCGAAGTCGGGGCTTCGGCCCCTCCAAGCCACCTGCCCCGCCCCCCTCGCCACACGTGGAGGGCTGGAGCACGTGCGCCACCTGGGCCTGATGGGTGGGCAGGTGGCGCCAGGTGGCTTCGGCCCCTCCAAGCCACCTGCATGCCCCCCCTCGCCACACCTGGAGGGCCGGAGCACGTGCGCCACCTGGCGCAAGTTTGAATTCGGAAACGGAAAATCCGAGCCACGGAAGGGCTGGCCAGCCAAACGCGAGCCTCCCCGCTCCTCCCCGCGCTGCAAACTGGGACTGTGGGGTGTGTGAAAGAGGGCCTGCGGCGGTCATCGGCGGCTACAATCAATGTCCGGCGTCGACATAAGCCTGGGGCTTCAACCCGGCCCGCGCGGGCGTTTGGTGTGGCTGCAAACGCCGCAGGAGCCGGTGGCTGCGCTGCTCACGCGCCGTTGCTGCCGACGCTGAGCAGTCTGACTCGCCAATGAGAAGACTGCCCGATAATACGCCATCACTCGATCCCCGATAAACCAGGCCATGCAGAGCTTTGTCGGCCTCGCCGACGTCGTGTGCTGGCTGCGCGGTAGAGTTGCGAGAGTGGATTGTGGAGGCGCGGCGGGGGCGGCTCGTGGTGCCGAGGCGGTGTATAGTACATTCCTATTCAAAAGAACACGCACGATGAAATTCCCGAAGTGACGCCCAGGTGGCGCACGTGCTCCAGCCCTCCAGGTGTGGCGAGGGGGGGCATGCAGGTGGCTTAGAGGGGCCGAAGCCACCTGGAGCCACCTGCCCGGGCCCAGGTGGCGCACGTGCTCCAGCCCTCCAGGCAGGTGTGGCGAGGGGGGCAGGTGGCTTGGAGGGGGGCGAAGCCACCTGGCGCCACCCGAGCGGTCACATGGCCACAGGCGGCGTTTGGAATCTACTCCAGGTGCTTTTTGCACTGTTTTGCCCATGGCCACAGGCGGCGTAAGCCATCTGCTCCAGGTGCTTTTTGCACTGTTTTGCCCATGTCCACAGGCGGCGTAAGCCATCTGCTCCAGGTGCTTTTTGCACTGTTTTGTCCATGTCCACAGGCGGCGTAAGCCATCTGCTCCAGGTGCTTTTTGGACTGTTTTGCTCATGGAGCAAGTGGCTAAAGCCACCTGCATTTTGTGCAAAAAGCTGCAAAGGACTCGTGGAGGCACGTGGCGCTTTCCGCGTGTGTCTCGTGCAAAATCCGGCATTTTGTGGCTTTCAGGTGGCACGACGCGATTCAGGTGGTGTGGAGCCTCCTACCTGGGCCCATCTATGCAGGCGAGGACCAAGCTACTTCAGCTCCGTGAAAACCGTCATGACGTGTCGTGAACTTCCATAGTCTCTACATACGCGACCTTTGCAGCCACTGACGGCACTCTTCCAACATCCCTCGAACTTAAACCATGTCTACCCACCACACGTATTCATGTGTTTGTACTCCCAGTCGCGTCGGCCAACCACCACTTCCGCCAAGACCAAGATCACCCGCTCCCGCACACAGACAGAGAGAGACACTTCGCATGCGGGGGCGTGTGCGCCGCTTCCGCTAATCCGCTCTACCGCCGCTTCTGCAGCGCCTCCTCCAGGTCCGACGCGCGCGAAACCGCCTCGGCGCACTGCAGCTTAAGGTCGATCATCTTGCGCATGTCCGACTCGTACTGCCGTCGCAAGTCCTCGTAACGCACCTCGAGCGCCGTCAGCTGCTCGGCGACCGACCGACCGCCCCGACGCGCCTGGCGAGGAGGCGGAGGAAGAGAAAAGGGGTCGGCCGGATGCGCATGGGTGCTGCGACCAGCGCCTCGACGGCACCCCTTGCCGGCACGCTCGGACGGACGAGCTACTCAGCTACTCAACCCACTAGCCTCGCGCGCCTTGTTTGCGCGCGCGCCCATCTCATCACGCTCGAAGGCCGCCTCCGCCGCCGCCAGCTTGGCCTCCACCAGCTGGAGGGCCATCTCAGCGTGCTCCTCCTCGAGCGCCTCGAGCTCAGCCGCGCCGTCGGCCGCCGCCGCGCCGCCGCGCACCGCCGCCGCCGCCTGCCGCCGCGCCTGCGCCAGCTCCTCCTCCAGAAGCCGGTTCCTCACGGCCGCACCCTTCTCCGCGGCGGAGACGGCATCGAGCTGCGCCTGCAGCGCCTCCGCTTGGCCGCGCAGCGCCGACACCTCCGCGCTGTGCGCCGCGTCGCTCCCCTCCTCGTCGTCCGAATCCGCCTCCATCGCCCGCCGCAGCGCGTCCCGCTCCTCGATGGCCGCCCGGCTCTCCGCGCGCAGCGCCTCCGCCTCTGCGCGCGCCGCGTCCGCCTCGCCGCGCGCCGCCTCGAGCTGCGCCTTCATTGAGATGAGCTGCTGCTGCTGCTCCACGCCGCCGCCGCCGCCGCCAGCGGCGGCGGCGGCAGCGGCGGCAGCGGCCGCAGCGGCGGCGGCGGCGGCGGCCGGCTCCGCGTCGCGCCTCTTAGGGCGGGGCAGAGACTCCTCGCTGCTGGCTACCCTGGTGACGGTCTCGGCCTCCGCGGCCGCAGCCGGCGGCAGCGGTGGCGTGGGAGGCGGGCCCGCCGCGGGCGCCGCCGCGGGCGCTGCGCCGCCCGCCGCGCCGCCCGCCGCGGACGCGCTGCCGCTTGCGGCGGCAGCGCCGCGCGCGGTGCGAGCGAAGGAGGTCGTCTTGACGACGCGTTCTCCGGCAGCGGCGAGGCCGCCGCCCTCCTTCCTGGTCTTGATCGACTCGAGGCGCGACTCGAGCCCATCGCGCATGCCCTGCAGCTGCCGGATCTGCGCCAGCTTCTCAGACGTGCTCCTCCCGCCCGCAGCGCCGCCGCCGCCGCGCGCCGCCACTTTGCGCTCGAGAGCACTCGAAGCGCTCGAGGCGGCGGCGGCGGTCCGAAAGGCGGCCATGCGCTCGCGCACCGACGCGCCCGGGTCGCCGCCGCTCGCGGTGCGCGTCGCCGCCGCCAGCCGCGGCGGAGGCTTGGCCGCCTCCTCCTCGTCCTCGGTGTCCTCCTCCTTTCGGTCAAAGAGCGCATCCGCCGCCGCCGCCGAAGCGAGGCTCGAGTCGGAGCGGGCGTCGTCGTCCGGAGAGGCGAAGGGGTTCCCAGCGTCGCCGCCGCCCGCCCCCTCCCCCGCGGGCGGGTCGGGCTCCCCAAACGGGTTCGCGGCGCCGGCCGCCGCCGCCGGCTCCTCTGCCGCCGAGAGAGCCGCCATCGACCTCGGCCGCTCGCTCGTCGGCCGCGGCGGCGGCGTCTCTCGGGGCGGCGCCGCGGCGGGCCTGCGACTCGAGCGCGCGGCCGCGATCGCCTCCGCCGCAGAGAGGCCCGTCGACTTGCCGCTCGGCTCTGCGAGCTCTCCCGCCTCCTCCCCAAACCCAGACAGGTCCTGCTCGAGGGTCCCCTCCGAGGGGGCCTCCGAGGCGGTGTAGCGCGAGGAGGCGTCGGTGAAGCCCGAGAGCGCCGACGAGATGGACTCGTCGTCGTCGTCCTCGTCCGCTGTCCCCAGGTGCGCCGCGCTCAGGTGTAGCACCAGCCGGACCGGGCCGCCCCCGCCCTTGACGCGCTTTGAGAGGGGAACCTCGAGCTGCAGCCGGCGGGGCGTGGCCGAGTTGGCGAAGTCGCTCAGGTTGAAGTCGACGTGCCCCACCTCGCGCAGCTGCCGCTTCCCGCCCCGGTCGACCGGCTTCGCCGCCAGCAGCGACGCGCGGTACCGCTTGTCTGAAAAGTCCTTGCCCGTCTTGGAAGAGTAGAGCGTCGCGACAAACGTGAGCTTCTGCTCGCCCCAGCTGACGGCGCCGCCGGCGGGGTGGCCGCCAGGGACGTCCACGGAGCAGCTCGCAATCTTTGGCCCCCGCGCCAGCTGCACCACCAGCTCCTGGCAGCCGCTGTCGAGCGGGCGGTCCGGCAGGCCGGCGACCGAGATGCCGGTCGCTTCAAACGAGTACTTGTCGCGTTTGCGGCCGGCGTGCTTAGTGGCCGTGCGCAGCTTCGAGGTCGCCTTGAGCGCGCGGCTGGCCGAAAGGACAGAGGGCATGGCACGCTCGGTGGGACGCGGCAGGGGGCGCACCCCTTCTCTTCGGCGGCTTCTGGCGGCGGGCTCGAGCGGGGACCCGGGTAGCGGTAGTAGGGGACTGACGCGTCTCTCAAGTGTGCTCAATGTACGCGTACGCTTTGTGGGGCGGGGAAACCGGGGAGCTCCAAACGTATTCCTAGCATGTGCGGGATCAAGACATCATCCCTGGGCGAGCAGCTTTCCGTATCTCGGCGCGCTCGCTCTCGTCATGCTCATGGTCATGAGAGAGATTTTGTTTGTGGTCCTGTGCACTAGGAGGTAACGGCGGCGCGTCTCGCGTTCAACGTGAGAAGGACACTCCGCCGGCCGTCTCATCGTTTGCCGTGGCGGGCCGCAGCAGGGGCCGGCGCGAGTAAGCGATGTCTAAAAGAAGCCTGCGGGTGGAGAGGGGGCGGGGACACCGGGTGGGGCGGGAGGTGTGTGTAGCGTGGCCTGCGGGTGCGCGGCGTCTCACCGAGCTTGGACTTGTCGTACGAGACGAGCATGTTTTTGGTCTGGCGGTAGTGGTTGAGCATCATCTTGTGTGTCTCGCGAGCGAAGCCCGACTGCTTGTAGCCGCCGAACGGCGCGT